TCAAGCGACTGATCCACGCCATCCAACGGCATGGGAGAAGTGTATACTGGATCCGAGTGGATGGATGCGCCTACGGGCTGGAGTGGAAAGGCATTCCTTTGCGAAAGGCCTGGACCATCCTGACCACGAGCCGAGAGTTGTGGCTGACCCTGAACAAGAGATGCGACCGCTCCCATGAACATGCAGAATGCCGAGGGCAAGCGGCAGAGGCATCAAGCTACTACCCGGTCTCGCTATGCCGGGACGTGGTCAAGGGAATGGAGCATCGATGGAGACAAGAACGAGACGATCTGACGAAGATGGTCGAGACCTATCTCCTTGAGGTTCCCGAGGGCACGGACGAAGAGACTACATCCAATCTACTTCCTGGAGAACCACAAGGCGGACATCATGGCTTCGAGCTGGAACCGCAAGTGATGGCCTTGAGCAGGAAGAGACTGGACCTGGAGACAGCCCCAACTGGGAAGCGACTGGAGGCGATCAAGCAGATGATGCTGCGAGTCCATCGAGCGAGTGGACACCCTGGCATGTCCAACTTGGTGCAGCTGCTGAAAGCTAGGGGATCACCTGGATGGGCCCTCGAGTTGGCAGCTAATCTGGAGTGCCCAGAATGCAAAGAGGCTTCCAAGCCGAAACCACGGCCTCCAGCGAGCTTGGGAGAAACACCTCCAATCTACGAGCATCTTGGAACCGATGTCTTCGAGCACGAAGAGCCGACGGGTGTGAAGCACAAATTGATCATCTGGAGGGATCGAGGATCTGGCCTGACAATGATCGACCACCTCAAGCGGTACGAGACTGGCAACTGGGAGCCAACAACAGCTGATGTGATCAAGTCAATGACGAGATGGCTGATGACATACCCCTCTCCGAAATGGACGGTGGCCGACAGTGCTAGGTACTACACCAGCCAGGAGTTTATGAACTTCCTCAACAGGTCTGGTGTGGGGCTGACCATCGCACCAGCAGAAGCACACTGGCTTATGGGCTTCGAGGAAAGCGCAATTGGCCTGGCTAAGAGGACAGTTGAAAGACTGATCAAAGAAGGGAGCTCTTTGGACATCCCTGAGCTGTACCAGATGGCAGCAGCGGCCATGAACAGCCACATCGGGCCAAGCGGATTCAGTGCTTACCAATGGGTGTTTGGAGCTGGAGGAGGAGTACTTGACGAACAACAATTGCTCCAGGGCATTGATCCGAGCCGCGCTTTCGACAAACTGGTGAAGGAGAGAGAGAAAGCCAAGATAGCTTTTGAGCGAGAACGAGCTCGAGAGAGGTTCAGCAAGCTGGCAAATGCCATTGGGAGAAAGGCGAGCCAGTACCAAGCTGGTCAACTGGTGATGGTGTGGCGACAGCGAGTCCGCCCTGGCAAGGTGAAGGGCAACTGGACTGGACCCCTACGCCTAGTTCTCATGGAAGGCTCGACAGCCTGGCTGATTTCAGGAGCCACTCTCATCCGGGCGAAGGTGAACCAGATCCGCCCGACGTCGAAGCGTGAAGAGTTGGATGCCAAGCTGGAAGGAGCGGCCATCTACAAGAACCCAGTGATGCTCGAGGCCCTCATGAGAAGCTTCCAAGGCCGATACTACATGGATGTGTCTGGCGATGTCCCAAGCGAAGAGCTACAACGAGGAGATCTCTCAGCTTCTACTCCACTGGTTGAGCCACGGGGACAACACGGGAGCGACTCTTGGGCGGTGAAATGGGAAGATGGCAAACGCTTTTTGGTCCGACTTCACGAACTTCCTAGGTTGGCACTTTTCAACCCTGGACGAGCAACGAACTGCCCCGTGAAGTTGGAGGAGTTGACTGGTCTCAGGAAGACTATTGTCCGTCCGGCTCATGGAGGTGATGAGGTGACCATCCACGACACCGTTGAAGAGAGCCGGAACCTCCAGGACAGATGGAAGGGTGAGACTTGGTTTGAGCTGATCCCTGAGGCATCTGTGAAGCGGCAGCGAGTGAAGAGGTCCAAGGGAGAGAAACGAAAGGCCGACGAAGACCCAACGAAGGAGAAGAAGAATGACAAGACCATGGAGGACGAAAGGGAGATGCCGGAAGGAGCAACCTCATCATCGTCGGGACTGAAGGCAGCTCTTCAAGATCGAGGACCTGATGTGGTGGACAACCTACCTCTTCGAGGAGTATCAGGTGCTAATCGATGTCCGGTACCCGAATGCGATCTTCCCGGAGGCCATGGTGGACACCATCAAGACCGGGAAGGACAAACTTTCCTCTACGACCTCTATGAAGGAAGACGGGCGCCGACAGGAGCTGAAGTCCCGATTCCTGAGGAATCCTCGTCATCTTCTACATCTTCGATCTCTGAGCCGGAAGACCTGTCTTCTGGAAGCGAAGAATTGATGGTCGTCGATAACGACTCCAAGCCTGCCGGAAAGCTGAAGGAGAAGCCCAAGAAGAAAGCTCAGGAAGAGACGTTCCTTGCATGCTCCTTTGAGGTGGACGCTCATGACTTCGAATGGCTGAGCAAGAACAAGGGCCGCAAGAGAGGAGTCGTGTGGCTGAGCAAGAAGATGTCAGAAAAAGGAAAAGAAGTTGAATGGCATCGGCTTCCGATGCATGAGAAAAAGGAGTATGACCTGGCAATGGCAAAGGAGCTCTCTCAGGTGGCCATCAGCAAAGCGTTGCGGAACCTCACCATCCAAGAGGAGATGAAGGTGACCCCAGAGCAGTTGATGAAGATGCGCTGGGTGCTGACGCGCAAAGGCGATGGGACCGCCAAAGCCCGTCTGGTGGTGCTCGGATTCATGGCACACAACTTGACAGAAGTGGCCACGGCTTCGCCAACCATGTCCAAGGTTGGCCGCAACTTGATTCTCGCGTTGGCCGCCGGGCTGAAGTTCAAGGTCAAGGCCGGCGATGTGACGAGTGCCTTTCTGCAAACAGGCATTAGCCTGGAGGATGAGGAGCTGAATGTGCTGGCGCCGCCAGAACTGAGCGCCATGTTCGGCGCGACAGGCGGGCAACAAAAGGCCCTGAGGGTGCGAGAAGCTTTCTACGGCTTGGCACACGCTCCGAGAAAATGGTGGGAGCGTTGCGTGAAGACCATGGTGGAGGCCGGATGGCGACAGCTACTGAGCGACAAGTGTTGCTTCGCACTCTATGAGCCGGAGTCCATGAACGGAGACCAAAACCCACAACTGGTTGGTCTTGCAGGTTTGCACGTTGATGATTTCCTGCTCTGCGGACTGGAGACCTCTGAACACTTTCTGTCACGGGAACGCCTTCTCAACGAGGCATTCCGATGGGGACGATGGAATGAGGAGAACTTTGAGTTCGCTGGATGCACCATCATCCAGAACAAGGACTACTCCATCATCCTGAACCAGGAGATCTACACCAACCGCTGGATTGAAGAGATTGAGATTGACAAGACAAAGGCGAGAAAGACACCCTTGAATGCAGCGGAGGTTTCTGCCATGCGGGCAGCACTGGGCACCGTGTCCTGGCGAGCGACGCAATCTGCGCCGCAATTCCTGGCAGAAGCTTCGCTCCTCCTGAGCGAAGTCAACAAGGGCACCATAGAGACCCTATACAAGGTCAACAAGCTGGTGAGAGAGATGAGGAGAGAGGCCGGCCAAGGGTTGCTGTTCCCTTCAAGCTGGAACATGAAGGAGGTGACCGACCTCGCGGTCATCACCTGGGCTGATGCCAGCCAACACAACCGCCCTGACAAAAGCAGCACGGTCGGCGTCATCACCGGTGTCACGGTGAAGGCAGCCCTGGCAGGCGAGGAGGTGCAGATCGCAGTGGTGCAATGGAAGAGCGGCAAAACGCCGCGGCAATGCCTAGGTTCAAATGGAGCGGAAGTCCAGGCGATCACCATCGGCGAGGACCAGAACTTTCAGGTCCGAATGATGGTGGCCGAGTTCGGAGGCCATGAGGTGAAGAGACACCTGGTCCACGAGACCGCGAAGCTGGTGGCGGGAGCTTTGGTGATGGACAGCAGAGGCATCTACGATGCCATGACCCGCAACATCAGCAGCCTCCACGGCCTAAGAGATAGCCGGGCAGGCTATGAGCTGACGCTTGCAGTGAATCAAGCGCTGAGAGCAGCCACGGAGCTGCGATGGGTGAACGGCCTAGCTCAACTTGGTGATTCCCTCACCAAGTACGGAGCAAGAAAGACCCTGCTCCAGTTTTTTAGCCAGAAGCAATACTGGAGGCTGGTGCACGACGAAAAGTTCGAAGCGGGCAAGAAGGTGCACAAGAGGGCAATGGAGCAGAAGCTTCGAGAAATGCAGGAAGCCTATGTGGCAAGCCTGAAATCCCTGGCAGCCAGAAACAACTGGCCATGGGATGATGGCCTTGAAAAGGCCGATGACAGCCACCTCAACTAAAGGTTCAAAAAAGAGCCAGGAAAGTTGGGGTGATGTGAGGATGGAGATGTCATGTCTCTTTTTGTCCATGTTCCCCGAACCGCAGTGGCGGGGGCTCGAGCCGCGCAGCCGAAAACAGGTGCGCCTTTCCGCGCGGTTGGTCCTAGGTGGACCTCGTTTGTCCTTGGAATAGGACGGCTTGCATCTAGAATACTGCATTTGCTAAGGCCAGTATTCTCCTCGTTTTGTGCTAAGGTTCCTATAGGATGAGCTTAAATGGGGATGAGGCCTCCCTTACCAAGAAAACCTGGTCCTTGACCTCATTGAGTGCTGTTTTTGTATGACTGGACTCAGTGAAATGAGGTCCAACTAACCTGCTGGGCCTGGTCAATTGGTTGACTTGGAAGTGAAGTTTGGATTGAGTTCCCAGCTTCTTGTCTCCATGGACCGATTTCTGTCGCTCCAAACATGGAAAGGAACCCGACGTTTGGTTACCATACACAGTGGGTGACCAAATTGCTGGGGAAAACCTCATGTCACACCGGATTTCGGCCACAACTTGCATTGGAACCACCTCAAGAATTCCGGGAGGAGGTTATTTTCTACACGTCTAGGGGCTCGAAGGATCCACATTTGGGCGACCGAGACGGTGGGTGCCAGGAGCGCTCGCCCGACACGCTGGAGCGTTGGCTGCCCAAGGACGCTTTCTCAGTGAGGGGTAGGGGGCAGGGGCTGAACCAAGGCATTCAAGAAAGCCATCTGTCACGTGCAAGGCTTAGATCGATGTACTTTCTTCAAGGGAGCCCACGCCTCACCGGGCCTCACCGGGCCTCACCAGGCACCTCTCAGGCCGGTGAGGCCACCCGCCACGCGCATGGAGCGTCTGCGAGGACCGTTATGGGGCCCAGGGCAAGGAGGCTTTTCGTCGCTCGGCGGGTTCGGAGCCGTGTGGACGTGACCACGACTTGCTGGGGTGGCCGTCTGCCGGCGCCATCCGAAAGACATTCTTCTTCGTGGTTGGACTCCGAAGAATCATGGACGTGGAACATTGGAGACATGGATGACCATGAAATCCGACTGCCAAACAGGTGGTGCCCTCCACGTAACTGCGGTGGTTCGGAGTGTCAGGGGGTGATGTCGCCATTCATCGCCGCACCGTGACCTCACGTCGCTTTGGGCGTCCGCGATCGCTTTTTCCTCTATTTTGGGCCGGTCTGAGAGTTGATTTGCTCGAAGAAGTTTTTCAATGCCCAAGGTGCAAAGCCATTTGGTGCCAGGTCTTGCAATCCTTTCTCTTTGGCATGCCCCCATGAGTCCATGAGTGCACGTGACAGATGTTTTGGCCCCTGGTACCACATGCGGTTCCGACTGGAGTTCGGAAACGATGCGATGTGACATGCCTCGGGATCCCGAGGGCGTGACTCATGAACATCATATTTATGTTTTATTTTTTGCCACATGTCGACTGCTATGTACTTGTGAAAGTACTGTTGGAGTGCCAGATTTGATCACATCATATAGATGCAAAACTCAGGCATCTCACAGGTTGCTGAGTTCTCAGTTTGAAGTCGTATGATGTAAGGCAGATGTTTGGCAGATGATCGACGTTCATAGCAACAACCATGATCGACGTTCTGACAAACAACACTTTTTTTGCAATATGGATTTATGGTATTTTCCTTGAACCTCCTACACTTCAATTCGATGTTGTTTGTTTCATTCCGTTTTCACCCACTCAGCCCTGGAATGCCTCCCCTGAAAAATACGACTTCCTCAAGAACTGGCCTCCCCTACCCAGGATCGAGCTTTACCTTTGCCCTGAACCCCACGCGTGCGGACACCTTGTGGCGCGCTTTAGTCCTGGACGAGGTGCGCGGCCGAGCCGCTGGTCCACGGGGTCCGCGGAGAGGAGACTGGTTGACCTGAGAAGGTCTGCTACATGGTGGAAGACCGTCGAACATGGTGGGTCACCACCTCTTGAAGGCTGGGGAACTTGCATTTTTGATAGGGCCAGTCTGGAACATACAGACCTCTGCCGAGCAGGTGCTCTCTTCTCAATTTTTCGGGATCCTTCGTTCTTGGTCAGATTGCGATCAGGGCGATCGCCAGTCGCAGGAGGGAGATCTGGTCAGGTCGCGTGAATTTTGAGATACCCCAATATCTATAGCAAGACGATTTTCCACTGCTTCTAGCGTGTGGGCAGACCGTGTGGCGAAATTACGTCCGTGATGTTGCAGTGCCATGCGGATTTGCGCGGCCTTGGTGGGAAGTGCGTTTGCGTGGCGCCGTGCCACTGGGGAGCGCGAAACATGCTGGTGTAAACGCGGCGTGTAGCTGGTGAGCGGGATGATTGACGGTATCGTGTGATAGGATTGCTTCTAGTGTGTGGGCAGACCGTGTGGCGAATTATGTCCGTGATGTCGCAGTGCCATTCGGATTTGCGCGGCCTTGGTGGATAGTGCGTTTGCGTGGCGCCGTGCCACTGGGGAGCACGAAACATGCTGGTGTAAACGCGGCGTGTCGCTGGTGAGGCGGATGATTGGCGGTATCGTGTGATACAGTATGATTGCTTGTAGTGTGTGGGCAGAACGTGTGGCGAAATTACGTTCGTGATGTCGCAGTGCCATGCGGATTTGCGCGGTCTTGGTGGAAAGTGCGTTTGCGTGGCACCGTGCCACTGGGGAGCGCTGCTCGAAACATGTGCGCCGCGCAGGTCCACGAGAGCCGGCTACCTCTGTCTGCAGCCGCCCTCCGCTCTAACATGGAGGACGCTCGCAGGGGCGAGCGTCTCCCGGCAGGGCAGTGGAGTGCTGCAGCAGAGGCCCGGCTGCGGGCAGCTTTGGCTTGAACAAGAGACGGAGAAAGACAATGCACCAAAGAAGAAATCGCGAATTCTACCGTATACTTATCAGCCCGATCTGCTCAAAACCCGACGTGTAACCAGTGAAGCAAAACATTAAAATAGTTGAGAACGCCTTTGCAGTTTCAAACCTGTCATATAGGTTGAGGGTTGGGCTAGAACGTTGAATCACGCTCCTGGCCAGTTTGATTGCGTGCGTTGCCCACACCAGCAAAGACAACGTGAGTGAATTAATCTGTGTACATATTTTGTCTTTTGGGCTGCCCCCGACACACCTGACGAACTTGTGTTTGCTGGATCACAGCGTCGTGCTAAGGCCGGCTCCTTCTTCGCGTCCGCAAGGGCGGACCCGCAGCGCTTCCTCCTCGTCCTCTAGCTCTTCTTCGTCCACGA